AGGTGGAACTGCAGCCACGGCTTCTGAAGCTGCTAAGTCAACAAGAAATGACCCAGCCATGCTTAACATGACTTCTTAATTTGTTTAGATAAATCAAATAACGTAGTAAATACATAAAGTAGTTTTAGCTTTAGTTTATTGGATGGTGCCATCCAATATAAATATTTATCTATCTTTCGGTGATCATAGCAAATTAGTTATTTTGTTTGATTTGTGATTCTCACTAAAAAATATAGAAGACCAAACTAAATATCTATATATATTTTATTTTTTGTTATAGGATGACATTAACATAATTTATTGATCTTATTTTTTTCATCTAGGGCCTCCAAAGTTCTAAAGGCGGACCTGTTTTTATCATTTTCTTGTGAGTACTTACTCTATCCCTGGTACAATTTGATTCTTTATTGGTCCAACAAAGTTGTAAATGAAAATGAAATCTACTATTCTTTCAAGGCATTATTAGTTTATCAGTGAGTTCAAAACAAAGTTCTTATACAAATCTTTTTAGTTTGTTATCTAAACTAGGAGAGTACTCAATACGTTAACTAAATAGACTAAAACAAAGTTACTAAACATATTTTTTCAGTTTTGTTAACTAAAGTTCTTTGGTTAATATTAAAATGTGTAGAAAATATGAAAGTAATAACATTAAACTGAACAAAGTTCTTTGGTTAAAGTATTCCCCCTGATTTCTTCCAAGTGTTTGCATATGTTATTTAAGCATGTATGTTAAATATTTTGTTGGGATCTAATAATTATAAGGAATTGAGAGATGGATAGGTCTTGGATAAAGGATGGAAACATGTTGTCTGAAGAATACAGAAATGGAGTTGATGAGTTCTTACAATTTTCTATGCTCAACTCAGAAAATCGTAGATCAATTAGGTGTCCGTGTAGAAATTGTTGTAACATGGAATTTCATAAGCCTGAACAAATAAAAGTACATTTGTTAAAAGTTGGTTTCTTGGAAACGTACCTTGTTTGGACTAGGCATGGAGAGACTGCAAAAACTCCAACCTTTAATCCCTCTCAATCAAATTTTCATGATCAAAATGAAATTGGTGACATGTTAGGCGATGTTTATGAAGAACTAGATGGTAACCCAAAGAGGTTTAAGGATGTAGTTGAAGATGCTGAGAAACCATTATACTTAGGTTCAAGTTATACAAGGCTTTCAGGATTATTGTTGTTGTATAATGTAAAAGGAAAATATGGATGGTCTGATCAAGGGTTCTCAGCTTTATTAGAAGCTCTTTCGAGTCTACTACCCACCGATAACACCATTCCCAAGTCAATGTATGAAGCTAAAAAAATAATGAAGGTGTTAGGTTTGGATTACCAAAAGATACATGCTTGTCGCAATGATTGCATCCTCTTTCATAAGCAACACAGTGATCTTGAAAAATGCCCTACGTGCGGAGAGTCTAGGTGGAAAGAGACAAAGAATGGATCCATAACAGCTACTAGTAGAATTCCTGAGAAAGTATTGTGGTACTTTCCTCCAATTCCTAGGTTCAAACGTATGTTCCAGTCTACTAAAACCGCTGAAGACATGACATGGCATGCAGACCATCGCATTAAAGATGGTAAATTGCGTCATCCTGCTGATGCTCAAGCTTGGCATCACATTGATAAAATGTGGCCTGATTTTAGTCAAGATCCTAGGAATCTGAGGTTAGCTCTTTCAAGTGATGGAGTAAATCCACACAGTTCACTTAGTTCTTCGTATAGTTGTTGGCCTGTTCAGTTAGTCATTTATAATCTCCCCCCTTGGTTGACCATGAAAAGAAAATTCATGATGTTATCTCTTTTAATTTCTGGTCCTAAACTTCCTGGGAATGATATAGATGTCTATTTAGAACCCCTGATTGATGACCTTAAAACCTTGTGGAATGATGGTGTAGATGTTTTCGATAGTTTTAGAAAGGAGACCTTCAGGTTAAGAGCTATATTGATGTGGACCATAAGTGACTTCCCAGCTTATGGTAATCTGTCTGGTAGCACCGTGAAGGGGTATTTTGGATGTCCAGTTTGTGGGTCGGGCACTCGTTCAATATGGCTGAAATGTAGTAAGAAATGTGTCTATATGAGCCATCGTCGCTTTTTACCGAAAAACCACACGTTTAGAGATTTAAAGAAAGTCTTCAATAATCAAGTTGAGAGAGAGGGACCTCCAGCAACCCTCTCCGGCGAAGATGTTCTTAAGTTGGTTGAAGGAATAAATTACAAAAACGGGAAGCGCAAGGACCGCAAAAGAAAGAGAAAGCGTGATCACAATGATGGAGACAATAGATTGTTCAAGCGCAAATCAATTTTTTTTATCTAGAGTATTGGAAGCATTTATTGGTTCGTCATCTATTAGATGTGATGCACATAGAGAAGAATGTGTGTGAGAGCATCTATGGAACGCTTCTTGATCAATCGAGCAAAACAAAAGATGGACCTAGAGCTCGAGATGACCTTGCTCATTTGAACATTAGGAAAAACTTAATTCCTAAAGAGAATTCCAAATCATTGCCTCCAACACCCTACCACCCTGAGCAAAAAAGACAAACAAAAATTTTGTGAAACCATACTGCAAATAAAAGTGCCTGATGGTTATTCATCAAACCTGAAAAGCATAGTTTCTGATGATGACAGTCACCTTCAAGGTCTTAAATCTCATGATTGTCATACCTTGATGCAACAGATACTTCCCTTGGCCATTCGGAACATGTCACTGGCAGAAAATGTTACCAATGCGATAACTAGTATGTGCTTATTCTTCAACAGACTATGTGAGAAGGTCCTAGATCCTGATTCACTTGATGATTTAGAGTCCAGTCACCACATCACCATGTGCTGTCTTGAGCAATATTTTCTGCCATCATTTTTTGATATAATGGTTCATTTGACAGTCCATCTTGTTGCTCAAGTGCGTCTTTGTGGCCCAGTTTTTCTCTGTTGGATGTACCCTTTTGAGAGAAGCATGAAATTCTTAAAAGGGTTCGTCCGCAATCATTACCATCCTGAGGGATGCATTGCCGAATGTTATGTGGTAGAGGAAGCTCTTGAATTTTGTGCCGAGTATATTTCCAACCATGAATCGATTGGGTTGCCTACACATTCTGATAATGATGACCCAATTGAAAGGCCTCTAGGACGCGGGGACACTAAAATAGTTGATTGCTCATTGCTTGAGCAAGCACATCGTACTGTTCTATTTAATACGCCCGAAGTTCAGCCGTACATAAAGTAAGCACTCCATTGTTTATTTCGGTTTTGTCTATTTTGTGTATATTATATAATCTAACTCTTTTTGTTAAAAAAATAGGGAGCATATGTTCGAGCTGCAATCATTTTATGATGATGGTTGTATTGAAATAGAGCATTATCGAACATTTGTTAAGTGGTTTGAAGAGAAGGTTACTCGTTATTAACTTATGGTTACTGATCATATTAAAAATGTTACATAAATATACTGAATATTTAGCATATAATTTGTAGGTTCTTAATGATGTTGCAAATGGAATTGATGTGGACAAAACTGTCAGATGGCTAGCTAAAAAACCAAACACAACAGTGACAACTTACTCTGGGTACAGTATAAATGGATTTAGTTTTGCTACAAAGGAGCGGGATTTAAGCCGTGTTACACAAAATAGTGGGGTTAGTCTTGTAGCGGACTTGAATTACTACGGCGTTCTAACTGAAATTTGGGTCCTTCACTATCTGATGACTAAGAGAGTGGTTTTCAAGTGTGACTGGGTAGATAATAGGCATGTAGAAGAAGATAAGTTGGGCTTCACAATACTTGATCTAAATAAGATAGGTCATAAAAAAGATTGTTTCATTTTAGCCGCGCATGCCAAACAAGTTTTTTATGTGAAAGATCAACTTCATCCAAGAAAATCAGTTGTTTGTTCAGTTGGTCAGAAGGTTAGTCACGTTGCAGACGCTGGATGTGATGAAATGGTTATACATGATCCCCTAACTTCACATTACCCAACACAAATTCTTGATTTGGAAACCCCCGATGATGATGGAATTTATGATAGAGTACTTTGTGATGCGAATTAATAATCCAATTAGTCAAAATTGGAATGAATTCATTGCTACGTTTCAGTAAGTATTACTTTTACATAACTTTCTGGTTTATTTTACTTCAATTGTGTATTATTTGTAATTCAATTCAAAGGAAAATAACTTTATTTGTATGTATAATCTTGTTATTATGTAGGATACAGTTTGATATGAAGAATCAAAATGAAGACATGGACAATGTTGATATGGATGAACTGGATGGGAGGCCACGTAGGCGAGAAAAGACAAAGAAGAAGATGATGTTGAAGAAAAGTGGTGATCATAAAGTGATTGTGGAAGTTAATGAGCTTGGTGTTTTAGCAGGTAAGGGCTGGACGGAACTGTCTAATTACCTTGGGGTTATAGTCAGGGACCATGTGCCCATAGTGTACCATGACTGGAGAAGAGTCCCGCTTAAGTTGAAAAATGATATGTTGACGCATATTCAAGTAAGAAACTGTATGCATGTGAGCTGCTATTAACTTTGTCAATTACTTTTTTAGTCTTTAAGTGTTGAGTTCTTTCAGTTTATTTGTAGTCTTTAAGTTTTTTATTATTCATTCAATAAAATAATGTTCTTTTGGATGTAGGATCTGTTTGTGTTGCCTACTAATTCAGAGAAACATATACTCCAAACAATGGGAGCTGCACATAAAAATTTTAGGTGCACTTTGTACACTGAATTCATTGCACAACACATGGATGAGCCCGAGAAGTTAAGCTTACCTCCAAATGAATATAAGCACATTGGTACTGATGAATGGAGAATATTTGTGAAGAGGTGCTTCACAGAAGAATTCCAGGTGATAGAACTTACTAATGCATTTAATATAAGTAGAAACATTTGTGAATATATGTAATAATTTTGTTAAATGCTTTTAGGAAAAAAGCAAAGAAGCAAGTGAAACTCGAAAGAAGAATATATATAATCAACGATTAGGTTCAACAGGTTATGGAGGGTTACTTTTAAAGATGGTTTGTTCTAATCTTCCTTTATTAAAATTATTCGATTGTGTATATGAGTATTTAGATGATATACCTTTTGTGTTTTCAAAACTCAAAGAAAGAACAACTTGGAAGTAATGTCAACGACATTGATCGAGCGGATACATGGCTCTTGGGAAGAGAAAGAAAAGATGGTGGATATGATCCTGAGGTTTTGGAAGTTGCAGAAGAAATAGTAAGGGTTGTAATAATTTTATGAATATGAACATGCATCTTTTAGTAAAAAAATTCCCAGTGTACTGAGTTCAATTAATTGACTTGTTTTATGCTCTTTTTAGAATAAAAAAATGGTGTTTGACACAATTTGGTAATGCTCTAGTAATGCTCTGATGTAACATGTTTGTTTGTGTAGAAGGAGCTCAAAAATAAGGTGAAAGAAGGATCATTTGTGCCTCGTGGAGACGATGATGTGCTCTCAGTTGCTCTTCAGAAAAAATCAAATGGCAGTAGAGTACAGGGGTTGGGGCACTTCATTACCCCAACACGATACTTTTACACGCCAAAGGCAACCAAAACCGAGGGTGGGAGTCATGGAATGCAGAAGGTATGTACAACTACATCTCTAAGTGAATGTTTAATGAGATATAGTTATTAATAAATAGTTAACTTCTATGATATAGACTGTTGGAGAGGTGGAGAAACCAGTATTTAGTCATCGGAAGAAGCTATTTGGAAGCGTTCCCAGAAATTCCCCTCAGCACATAAACACGGATACTTTAGGACAAGCCAATGCTCACTCCCATGATAAGGTTAGACGTCTAGTTGCATATGTTTATTTGATTAAATACGATAGTAATGTTTGTAAATTACATGCACACTCTATGCTACATACAGGATATGAATGAAGAGGAAGATCAGTCAATAGCAAATATGGAGAATGACCGAGTGGAGGGAAAACAAAAACAGGGGTGCGAGGTGGTATTTGTGAAAGAGATAAGGACTGGAATGAAAGCTAAGTCCCAGCTAAAAGTGCAACGAATGACCAGGTCCGTTGCTGAAAAAAGAAAGGAACAAAGTGCTAACATGATGATGTTTTGCATTTTAGTGGAAAATTGTTTAGGCGAGATGAACAGCATCAAGCAAGATGCTGAAATTTTTGGATTCCAAACAAAAACTATGTTTAACAAGGAGGTTTGCCGCTCTGTTATCAACTTTCAGCAGGTTTCAAATTCAGTTGTTGAAATTTGGGCGAGGTAATAAGTTCCCATTTATTATATATTACATTCAATTGCATTAAAATCATTATTGTATTACAGTATAAAGCGGTAAGAGTATCTTATTATAAATATCAAAATGAATAAACTTAATTCAACTTGATTAGTAATAACTTAATAGGTACTTGCATGAGAAAATGGAGGCTGATGGAGGGGACATGCCAGTCCAGTTTGGTACTTCTGCTGCCATAGCAATACCAAAGAGGGCATCACACCAAGCGGTTACTAGGAGGTCACAATACATAGCTGATCTTTTGGATATTTCCTTGCTTGGACAAATGACTTTAATCCCCTATAATACCGGGTAAGTAATCTCTTTTGCAAGTGACTTGTATTTGCAAACAATGCTGCTTTTGTAATTACATATAGTTTCATTGTTATGTAGGAATCATTGGGTGTTGGTCGCCATCGACATGGCAGCTGAAATGATTTACTACCTAGATTCCTTGGGAGGAATTCCATCGAAGGATTTGGAGGAAATCATGAATCAGTTAAGTTACATAGGCCCTTTAAATGATGAGAAAATATTGGATCGGTTGAATTTTAATAATGATTGTGTTTCCTTTTCAGAGGGGTGACGATTAATCATGCCCAAAAATCCAAGAAAAGGTTGAATTTAAAATGGGTGAGAGTGATGGTATGTATCCTTTGATGTTTATTATCACTTTTAGTATAAATTAGCGGCTGTGATTTGTACATGAGATCCTTTTGACTAAAGATCAGAAATCTGAACTGGTGTTTTGTAGTACGGAAAGGCAGTTCACTAAAATTAATGGGTCTTTGTTATGAACCATGGTTGTTCAGTTATTTTCTGAATTTAGATACTCATCTCTTGTAAGTTGCAACCATGAAACTTCGCTGAATCTCAACTTCGCTTAATATTTCTATTCTTATTATAGATACTCCATCCTTAGGAACAATATTTATCATTTGCAAGTTTTTAAATTAGCAGCTGTGATTTGTATGCTACAAGTTTTAATCAGTATGAACTGTCCCGGCCAGAAAATATTTGTTTATAATTCTATTATTATTAGTTTGTTAGTTAATTAAATCAATGTAAATGATAGAGGGTAGATGCACAGGATATGAAGAAGGTAGTTTCTGAATTAATGAGAGTGATTAATGATTCCAGATTATGAATAATAATATTATAGTGAACAATACTTGACTGTATTATTTTTTTACTATAACTTGTTCTTTGTTTTTAGTAAATCTT